CGTGCATTTTTCGTCTGTTGCTGCTGTTTCTGTTTTTAATCCGAAGGATGGTTTAGCCTCCCCCATGCTGCCCCCTCACGGGGTCCCAGTTCATGGTAGATAGAAGTGTTTTGTGTTTTCAACCGCACTAAGACTGACGTCTTTTCATTGGTCAGCCGGTTAGCGCGGTCGATGCTAATAATAAAAACACACACACACACAATCGGTCAGCCGGTTGGTTTGCGCGGTCGATGCTAATAATAATAAAAACACACACACACAAGATGGTTCGATCGAGGTTGTTCTTTCACAGCGCGGAGTTCAACAAGGCTGCAATTTGGGAGGGTTCGGCTTCTATGTAGGACTCCTTGATATCACGAAAGAGTTCAACAACAAGCCACCAGTGCCAGGAGTCAAGCTCATCGGATACGTCGACGACCTCCAAGCACATCTTCCACCAGGTTTGGCTAGGAACATGCAGGCCATATCCACTGTAACGAATTGGATTCAGGAACGTCTCTCCCAAAAAGGGATTGAGCTTAGTCTCCCGAAATCCAAAGTGCTTATCCCGGAGGGTCTTTGCATGTCCTCTTTGACAAACGACGAACAGCAACAGTTGACGAAAATTGGTCTGTCAGTTGCTGAAGGTCGCATGCCAGTAGTCGGGATCACAGTAGGGACAGAAGAGTTCCAGAGGAATTTGGTTTCCAAATTCGCCCGTGGTGACCCGGCGGAATTGATACTCCGCCTAGTAACGCTTGACGACCCTCAAGCCAGCTATCAACTACTGCGTTTATCTGGTGTGACACGTTTGTTCCATCTGCTGAGGATGATTGCACCGTCTATCACCACCTCTGCCGCTAAAAAACATGACAACATGATGATGTATGCAATGAGTAAGGTCGTCCTTGGTAAGATGGCCGATAGCATGAGAATACCAACGGACAAAGAAGTACGCGCAAACCCGAAGAGCGAGGAGGTAGATTTCTTCAAAGGGACAGATCGGGCACAGGTGCACCTACCACTGCGTGAAGGAGGACTGGGAATCACGAGCAATGTTCTCATTCGATAATCGGCTTTTGTGGCAAGGCAAGCGCTGGTGTTCTCCAAGTCAGTGCAAGCATCGACAGGATACACAGTTGAGCAATGTCTACCCCGGCTTGCCCAGCTACCGACAGGATTGGCTCTGATTGACTCGCTGAAGAAGNNTTCGAAACCTTTTCATGCAGCAGTGCGTCACATGGTGGAGACAGACTTGCAGAAGGTAGCAGGCGAGGAAATGTCAAAGAAGAGAGCATTGATGGTATGGAGGAACAGGGAAATAAAAGGGGGAGGGAGCAAGTTCGTTGCTCCTGGCTTCGGGTACTCACAGTTGTTGCTTGATCTCTTGTTTTAGTCTTCTTAGACCAGATCCGCTCAGCACCCACTCGGAGAGTGAGGGAGCGGGGGATTTTGACCTTCCTTCAAGCTATTTCAATACCCCTCGACGACGCCAACTATCCATATCAAGAAAATTCAAAATATCCAATAAGCGCTCATACAACGTCCATGAAACGCTCGTACAATGTTCATTCACTAGTTTCTCCGTTACATTAGTCCACCCTGGGAAGTCGTAGATGCAGATACTTTATCTTCAATCCAATACTCAACCTCAAATAAAGATCGAAGACGCGACTTTCCAAATCAGACAAAATATGAAAAAATAAAAGCAACTAGGATCGGAGAAAATAGTTCATCCCCGACAAATACTCCAAACCATCCCCACACCACACAGTGATGACTACCAAGAATCACACCACCAACGACGGAACCAGTCTGAATCAAAAGGGGTTCGGTCGTGGCGAAAGCGCGAAGGCCGGGGGAACTATTGCAACGATAGAAGAAGCTCACACTACCCAAACACGCGTTTAGCGTACCACTGCGTATGACGTAGAAAAAAAATCACAAAAAACAGAAAAACATACAGCGGCTCGAAGGCGGCATGCCGTCAAAGCACAGATCCAGATGGGGCAACAGCTAGCTGTGTCACAACGCCTGGTGTTCGCGACGTAACGCCATCATCCGTGGAACGGTTGGGTCAAACCACGAGTACGGTGTTTTTGCAAGCACCAAGAACCGCAAGGAGCATCCAAAACTGTGGAGTAATTATGCTCCGGGAGAGACAGCTAGCTGTCGGGGACCGGGGGTGTCCAAAAATCGAACAATGTTCTGGCCTGTTGCGAGACTACTAATTTGCCCAAGCCACCAAAGTCCATCCAAAGTTTCGTATCAAATGTGGGCTCCGACAGGTAGAACGGAAACAGAGAGGTGAGCCAACCAAACATCACGCGAGACCAACTCGTGCCCCGGGGCAATGAAACTTTCGGCCTGATTCCGAGCAAGTTCTCGGTCGGCCGAAGCTATCCGAGCATTACGATAAGCTCGCTTCCCTCGTACGCGCTGACTAGCGTTACCAGACCAGTAAAGCAAGATGTGTTTTCTGTATTCCTGCAAGTCGGACTCCCTTTCCCTCGACGGGGTCAACAAGCCCATCCAATGAGTCAGGTACAAAACGGCTACCACAACACCTCGTCCACGTACAATTTGGTGTCCTGAAATATTCTCAACATCTAGACGACTAGACTCCGCTACAATACCATCAGTAGTCAAATTATACGGGGGAGACTTGCTACTATACGAGTGCAAAACATATTTCGACAGATTGGCCGGCATATGCGTAGGCAGGTCATCCGTGTCGTATGGCTTGGTACACGGTTTACACCGCAAAACGGAGACACGGCGGAGAGATTCTGGTCCCAGCATGTCTAACGGCAGGTCCAGGCAGAGAAGTTTGCGCTCCACAGGTTTCCCATCCGGTGAATCCTCCGCTTTGGCCGGGCCAACAGCAAGGATCTTATAGGGTCCGGTATAATTGAGCGAAAGCTCCGCTTTGAGCACCAAATCATCGGTGTGTTTCCGCACACCCTGCCGAATAGTTGCGGCGGAGTTGTAGACCCAAACCCAACCACCAACGTCATATTTCGGTATCTGACGCAAACCGTCNAGCGAAAGCTTCGCTTTGAGCACCAAATCATCGGTGTGTTTCCGCACACCCTGCCGAATAGTAGCGGCGGAGTTGTAGACCCAAACCCAACCACCAACGTCATATTTCGGTATCTGACGCAAACCGTCCAACAGTGCAGAGTTCCGGCGTTCGACACGCGACACCGTAATCGCATGTTGTTCCCGCACCAAAGCGTAGGCTCGTCTCTGTTTTCCACCGCAAGGTTGCAGAAAGCGAGCTGGTCTCGATCCAAACTTTGATGGCCACCCACGCTAGGGTGGTCCAAAACAGAAAGCGGGAGACGGGGCAACCGTCCAATATGCGCTTCATTCGGCGCCAAGCCTGTGGCGGTGTTTACCGAGTTGTTGTATGCAAACTCTACATGGGGAAGATGGACGTCCCAATCGTTCTGTCGCTCATTGACCACAACAGCGAGCATTTGAGCCATGGTGTGGTTAACACACTCCGACCCACCGTTAGTGTGGGGGTGGTACGAATTGGTGGTGACTTTCCTGATGTTCATCAGTTCGTAAGTAGCCATGGACAGCTTGGAACAAAATTGCATGCCGTTATCCGAAAGAAGAGTAACCGGACAACCCCACAACGTCATGTAGCGGTTGACGAAAATGTTGGCCGTTCCCTTAGCGGTAAATTCCGCCTTGTTAGTGGCATACATATCCGCCCGTCGACTGGAACGGTCTGTAAACAAAAGTATACATGCATTCCCACGGGACGTGACCGGCAATGGCCCAAAAAAATCGACGCTCACGGCCCATTCGGGAGGGGCAGCGTGAGCGCAGGCCAGCGATACGTTTGCCGGGAAGTCTTGCGTGCTTGGCAAATTAAACAATACCGAAGCCATCAAAGAACGGACAAGTCCATCCCAATCCACCAGAAGAATTGCTCCGACATACGTAAAGTCCGAGCGGTACCCAGGTGAAAAGGCGCGGTTGCGTGACATGCTTGTAGGACCCAAGGTCGCAACAGCATAGGCACGTATATGCGTGAAGTCTTCGAAGGCGGGAGGCGAGTGATACGCCCGCCCGAACTACCGACAGGCAGTGGGGCAGAATGTCGCACCAGCAATCGCGTGCCATCGTCTGTAGTGTGCAGGCGTGTTTCAGATGCGAGGGCGACAACATCAGACAACGCCGGTCGTCGCGCACAGAACAAGGTATCCCAGAATGTATCCGGCAAAACCAGCGGGGACCAAAGATAAAAAAACGTTTAGCCGCTACACACTCCCTTTCCGACATCTGTTCGCGGCCCAGTCGGCATGCGAGAATGTATGCACACAATCGCGGAGATGAGCTTCCTCAGTGGCCGTGGGCGGTACCACCGGAGCCTTAGGGTTAGTGCCCGCGGGCGACAACACTGTCGGTGTGGGCGCCGCGGGCGGTAGCGGTGGCACCGGGGTATCGGCAGCACGCGGGGGCGGCGGCGGACCAGAGGTAGGGTTACCCACGGCTCTCGTAGATTTCGCGGCACCGCTCGACCGGGCCGGCGTTCGAGGAGGCCGCGGCGTCCTGGGCACCACAACGGCCCGTGGTTGTTTGGAAAATAATTGGGACGGCTGTGAGCCATGCCAGAGGCCGAATTCGTTCTCGCCCGAGTACGAGAAGAAATCAGGGGGCCACGCGAAAGCGACAAGGCAGCCAACGAGGTTCCGACGGTGAACGAGGGAGCGACGTCTGGCTCCGCAGTAACGGAAGCCGGAGGAGGTCCATCGGGCACACAACTCACGGGGGCTGTATCGCAAACAACAGCGAAAACACCAGAAAGCGAAAAAATCGACGAGTCAACTACGGAGGAGGGCGACGGAGCCGGCAGGACCATTTGTGGCCCAAAACGGCGGAAGTCCCCAAAGTCATCCTCCGTCAAAGGCGAGTGTGCCAAAGCGTCTCGTTGATCGTCAATTTCAAGCCCACCCAAGCCGATGTTCGGCGTCGAACTAGAGTGATACCTCCGTCCGCACGCACGAATGAGATGAACGCCCGAGACGTCATCGACTGCGATACTGGTGTCACCGTGTCTATCCGCTTCGGTTGCCGGCAAGGGCAACCGGGAAAGAAAATCCGCATTGGCGTTGGCAGTGCCTTTGCGGTAGACAAGGGTGTAATTGAACGAGGAAAGGAACTCGAGCCAACGGGCATTGTGTCCACCCACCTTGACGGTGCTTTCCAAAGCCTTCTGGTCCGAATAAATCAGAAAGTGCGTAGACCAAAAGCAACCGCGCAGGCGTTTGATTGCCCACAAGATACTTCCAGCCTCCAAGTCGAGCACGGTCCAATTGCGCTCGGATCCGAGCGTAGCGCGGCTAACGAACAGAGTGGGGCGAGCGGAACTATCGGCCTGTTCTTGTTCAAGTTCCGCACCAAAACCATCCACACAGGCGTCACAGCAAAGCCGGAGAGGGCGGCTGACATTCGCGACAGCGTCCCAATCCGGGAAAGCCAAAACCGGAGGTTCGGACAGTTTCACCAAGAATTCTTTGACAGTGTTCGCCATAGCCGGCGTATAACAAAACTTCGCATCCTTATGCAAAAGGTCGGTGAGTGGTTTAGCGCGCACGGCCAAACCCTTGATGAATTTGCGGTAATACGAAAGCCCACCCAGCAAAGAAAGCAGCTGCTTGACGTTATTAGGCAGCGGCATTCGTGTGAGGGCTTCGACCTTATCGGTACGAGAACCAACACCCGCAGGGGAGATGGTGTGGCCTAAATATACAGCCTCTTAAGGTTGTACTTGCGCAAACGCTCCAAAAATAACCGTATGTTGGCGACATGATGGACGGGGTCGGCGTCAAACACAACCACATCGTCTAGGTACGCAAGCACATGGTCGAGGCCTTTAATTTCTTCGTTGATGATCATATTGAACCATGACGGTGCAACGGAGCTTCCCTGAGGCACACGGAGCCACTCGAAAAGTTGTGTGGGCGTGCAAAACGCCGTAAGCTGAACCGTGCCCTCCTCGATTGTGATCTGGTGGAAAGCGGACTTTAGATCGAGAAAAGAAAACACTTTGCCCTTGTGCAGTGGATTGATGATGTGGTCAACACGCGGCGGCGGTTGTTGGCCAAGGCTGCACAATTGTTTAGTTTTTTGTAGTTCACGGTCAAACGCAGATTGTCGTCCTTTTTAGGCATGACAACCAGAGGGCTCGCCCACGGCGATTGCGAGTGCTGGATAAGACCGGCAGCAAGGTATTGATCCAGAATTGCATCGATCTTCTTCTCCACCAGAGGATTGAGCCTATAGGGACGCGAGGCCAACGGTTTCGCGTCCGCGGGCACTTCCAAACGAAACTGTTTCACGGAGCAGCAACCGAAATCGGACGGTGACCGCGAAAACACATCCGAAAAGTCACACAGCACATCCGCCAGGCGATGGCTTCCGGGGTCCAACCCGAGTCCTGTAAGTCAAAAGCGACATCGTGCAAATGTGCAGGCAAACGTTGCCACAACTCGCGAAAACTCACTCGCTGCACGTCCGAGAGGCGTTCCAACAGTTCCGGTGGCGGTGGTTTCGGCGGCAGTGGGGCCGCGGGAGAGGTAGAGATCTTCGGATCCGCAACCGGGATGTTCGAATGCAAAGAATTCACGCGAGACGGCGGCCCATTTTCAGAACGGGTCGGCGGCGTAGGGTCACTCGACCCAATACCCTCGGCCGTCTGCGGTGTGGGATCAATCGACGCGAGCGGAATCTGCACAAGTGGGGCAGTCGCCACTCCATGCACGTCACCGGGCTCCCACTCGGCGCACTCTGCCAACGGGATGTGTTGAGGCCCGTCCGAAACAAACGCGTCCGACGCTGAAAGGGCGCCGTGTTTCGGTAATAACGTGACAAGATAGTTGCCGGTAAGGGCAGGAGTGCCGGAATTGCAAACGAGGTTCACCCTCGTCATTGTGGGTTTATCGGAAAGGGAGACATCCTTCCTGCCGGCGTACCGCAGGAAGTAAGATGCCTCGGGGGCGGAGGGTCCAGCGACATACGCGGAAGCTCCGGCCGCAAAATCCGACGAAAGAGAAAGTTGCTCCATGATTCATCCACTCGCCGACCGCTTGGGCAAAGTAGTGGACAAACGAGAGTTAAAACGCATCCAACTATCACGTCCAAGAAGGAGGGCGTGACCCATGGCGGCAGCTGGGACAACATTCAACCGCACAGCTAGTGAAGTGGTGGCACTTTCACCATAAAAAATTGAACGGACAGCCGCACGAATGAGGTGGTTTCGAGAGCATTGCCAGAACCAAAACCACCCCACTGCCGAACGGGCACCGAACGACGACTATGGACAGATGCAGCTCCTGACGCCTCCATGGCCTCAAGAAAGCATCACTAATGAAAGGTGAAGGTAAGCCCGAGTCCAAGGCGCTGTACACACGGGTCCTGTACCACTATCTATGCGCACGGACTCGCGTCGTAGAGGTATCGCAATCCACTAAAACATAACCGCTCACCAAATCTGGACCGTGTTCCGCCAACAGGGCGGTGGGGAAGCGGCGGCTTCGCGAAAAGCAGCAGAGGCAATGTGCAGCACCTGTTTCGAGTGGTCCGAGGGCGTGTTCGCTGGCACGCCCAAGGGGCCACGCGCGTCCTCGGAAGGGGGATCGTCAGCTGAAGAATCCTCCCCCGGGGGTGCAATTTCGTGTATAGTGGGACACACGGGGGCAGATTGCCCCGAGTGTTCAGGGCGTAAAGGCTTATCGGGTTCGACTGGTCGCACACGCATAAGCGTGCGCGTCGCAACAAACGCTTTGCCCAAGAGGTTTTTACCAGTCCACTTGGAGGGCGACGCCGCACGCGGATCGAAGGCATCAACACCAATGCCCCACAATCCGTCATGAGGGCTAGCCTCCGCCATCTGTTTGTCACCCGTAGCTAACAAACGTTCGCGCGCGTCAGCATTTTGGGCCAGTTTTGCATACAAAAGCGAAAAGACGACATCCTCGCGTCGGAGCTCCCAGAGGGCATGGTCAAAACGGCGTACCCTGCGACCAAGGGACTTGTGTTCCCTCGGGTCGGAGGTAGACATGATTTTGGCATAAGCGGCATCATCGCCGAAAATGCAGGCTTTCTCCGCCATCATGAACTGTTCGCCGCACACGTAGCGAATGCCATGGACCGTGAATTCACAGGGCGTCCAATAATACAGAAAGGACGGCGGTTTCCAAAAGAGGAAAACCTCATCGTTGTAATATTCCTGACTTCCATTAAAAACAGGGGCCTGCCGCGCGGGTGCGCTTACTTTCCCCGAAGAAATATCATCAAGGGAAATGGCACCGGCAACCGGCAAGACAATCTGGGTGCCACCCGAAGGCGGGCCGGATTGTGAGCTACGAGGAGAAGCAGGCAAAAGCGGTGAACCAGCCGCAGAAGCGTGCGAAACCAAGCGGTCTACGCGGGCGTTTTCGCGCAAAACGTCGGCGTAGGCCTGTTCATTAAAAGCAGCCTTCATCGCGGGCGCTCGACCAACATGGCCAGCGGCCGCGGGAGGCTCGGGACCGCTACTTCGTGACAAAGAACATGAACCTTCCGATTTTGGGAAACCGTTACTTGCGCTCGACAACGGTGGTGCAGTCAGCACCGTGCGACGTTGGTGCTCCGTAGGGGAACGTCGCGAGGGGTCCGGAGGGGGCGCGGTGGGCACAAGCGTACTCGATCCACCGTGGCGGGCCCGGGGCTGTCCCGAAGGTCCCTGTGCTTCCGCGTGGTTGACGAGGCCACCCGGAGCCGCCGAAACGATGGGAGAAGCCGAAGAAGCCATGCCTCCGGGGGGCGTAGACATCGGGGCGAGCGTCCTCGAGACACCCGAAGTCTTGTCGGCCCCCCGCCCACACCACAAGACCGTATTCGGCGCCGACGAGTCACGACGGCCATCCAAAACAGGCTGTGATGAGGCATGGGGCGACATCTGAGAAGTAAAAGGTTGCGAAACTAACATAGGCGAGCCCGAGGACGTCTGTGTGAAACGAACATCTTGGGAACTAGTCGTACAGCGCACACCTGGTGCTGTTGACGGCGATGTGTGCAAAAGGCCCCGCGAGTGCGGGGTTCCGGAACTCGGAGTATGCGGAGTTCGAGGAACGGTGGCGGGCGCCGAGGCCGCGGCGGCGCCTACGGCCGGCGCCGGAGGGTGTGTGTGTGTTTGAGCGATGTTTCCCAGAGCGGCGGCCGTCGCCCGGTGCATGGCCGCTGCTCTTACCCGTGTTATTTTTATTGTGCACACGCGGGCGGTGAGATTTCATGCGGCTCTGCCAACGTTGAAAAACATTGACGCTATTAGCATGCGAAGCAATGGCGGGGTTGAAGAGGCCGGTGTAGTTGGTGAAAGCATAAGGGCATGTTTTGAGGCTGTGTCCCGCCTGCCCGCAGTTTAGACATTGGCCGGAAAATTGCCGCAGATCTTGTGCTCGGTCGGCGGGTGTCAACAGCGGTGTGAACAGAGGGGGGTCCATCTTTGCCATACTCACCACGACACTGTACACAGAGCCGTAGTGACCACGCAACGGCCAGCAGTCATAGTCCTGTTCGAAGGGACATGTGTTATCGGACGGCACAGGGTCGATGGCCATCACCCCGGCGGGAAATTGTGGTCCTGTCGACGACACCACAATGTTATGGAGGAACAAGGAAATAAAAGGGGGAGGGAGCAAGTTCGTTGCTCCTGGCTTCGGGTACTCACAGTTGTTGTTTGATCTCTTGTTTTAGTCTTCTTAGACCAGGTCCGCTCAGCGCCCACTCGGAGAGTGAGGGAGCGGGGCTGGGATTTTGATCTTCCTTCGAGCTGTTTCAATACCCCTCGACGACGCCAACTATCCATATCAAGAAAATTCAAAATATCCAATAAGCCCTCATACAACGTCCATGAAACGCTCGTACAATGCTCATACACTAGTTGCTCCATTACATTGATCCGCTTGGAGGAAGCGAAAGGCAAGGGAGTTTTGTCGTGGTTGACAACGCAAGGGCTGTCGGCAGATGAAAGCATGCTGCCTGATCTATATCGAGAGTCAATCGTTCGTGTACTGGGGAGTCACAATCGAGCAGACTGCGACACAGGCAAACTTTGTGGTGCAGGTGCATTGTTACCATGCAAGGACCGCTTGAGCCGAGCCCACTCCCTCGTCTGCACCAAGACCGGCGCCTCAACCTTCCTCCATAACAACAGGATGGTTCGCGTAATCCTCAAGACACTGCGCGAGTNACTTTGTGGTGCAGGTGCATTGTTACCATGCAAGGACCGCTTGAGCCGAGCCCACTCCCTCGTCTGCACCAAGACCGGCGCCTCAACCTTCCTCCATAACAGGATGGTTCGAGTAGTCCTCAAGACACTGCGCGAGTGCCATATATATGCCCATCGCCGTTGAGGATTCTTCCCCTTTTACCACAGGCACTGGTAGGGGAAAGGGGCTATACAAGATGGATTTGGTGATCACCCCAGGATTACACGCAGGAGAGAATGAAGAGGAACTCTGCACCAAGTCCATTCTCATAGACCTAACAATCGTCAACCCATCCGTAGGTCGAAGCATCGACAAGTCGATGCAAAAGCCAGGATCCGCCCACGAAGATCAAGTCGCAAGTAAGGCAAATCACTATGCGGGAACTTTCAACCCGTCTAGATCTAGACTACCCTCCTTACTGCTGCTTTTTCGACGAATGGTGGTCTTGGCGAAGACACCAATCGACTCATCATCGTTGCTATCGCCAACCACTTGGCGCACGAAGCTTTTTGCCAAAGGAATTTCGACGACGAAAGAGCGTTAGTCCGCCTGAAAGCTTTTCATACTTACAGGATTCGGAGACGGTTTACGTTCGACCTAGCTCGTTTTCTGTCGATGCGAACTCGCGATGTGTTCAAACGTCATGGGCTACTGATCGACCAACTTCCACCAGGGCCAACCGGTTGGGATCTCTGCGACAACGATAGTAACGAGGGTAATTCTTCTTTTGGGAGTGACGCAGACGAAGGAAAGGGAAGAAAGGAGGACGAAGACGACGATGGAGGAGGAAAACATGGAGGAGTGGAAGAGAGTAAAGAGTTTGGGCCAGATGACCTTCCCCAAAAGAAAAAACGTAGGACTATAGGAAAGAACTGCCCAGAGATTCTTGTCAAAATGAGGATCAGAATTGTCTAATGGTAGCGAAAACAAGGAGGATAATGGTGAATGTACTCCTAAACGAACTCGAGTACTAGGTAATAGCCTTGGTAGACACGTGCAGTTCTTCTGTTGCTGCTGTTCTTTGATCCGAAGGATAGTCTAGCCTCCCCCGTGCTGCCCCCTTACGGGGTCCCAGTTCATGGCAGATAAAAGTCTTTTGTGTTTTCAACCGCACTGAGACTGACGTCTTTTCATTGGTCAGTCGGTTAGCGCGGTCGATGATAATAATAATAAAAACACACATACATTTGAACTTCATTAGCTATCGATGAACTGGACTGGACTTACTTTTTGAGGAGTAACCAGAAACGGGTATACCCGGATAGATCATTACCATTTATTTCAGGGTAGACTTGGAAATCAAGATGACACCAATGTCCGACATGACAGCATCCATCCGCCTTAGATCGCGGCGAAACCAATAAACCGCTGTCTGTGTCCTGTGTGTCCTGTGCCTCGAAGGCATAATGCACGAGGCAGGTCGTGCCCGTTTTTTTCTCTCTCTCTGTGCCTCTCTCTCTCTGTGTGCTTTTACTGATTAGAACCACACTAAAGTCGCGCGTCAAGCGAGTCCGACCCTCTGTTGAGAAGGGTCGGTATCCTAAGGAGGCGGTGCCCATGAACGATGAACGAGCGAGCGTTGTTGGTGGTTTAGTTGTGGTTTTGTATGTATGTGTGGTACGCGTTATGTGCGACAAACGTTTTTTTCTGCGGGTTTTATGATAGAGCGTCGGGCGCCGGGATGATATGACCATTTCTGGGTACAATATTGACCTCTTTAGGGTACACGAGTAACCAATATCGGTCACACCAGAGGGTCCTAATTCCAGCGGAAGTTGTACCTGATGAAGGTTTCTTCAGAAACGGGTATAATGGTTCTTCGGCCAATCAGCTGACAGCCTGGGGGGTGCAAGCGCGTTGATTTCTAACTGTACCCTAAATAGGTTATGAAGTACCGGGGTATACCCGTTTCTGGTTATTTGTCTTACTTTTTCGAAAATTATGCATTCCACGGAGCTCCCTTTTGCGGAACCCCTACGCCGCCATCTCTCTGCTCTTGCCTTGCATGCAAGGCACAACAACAACGCTAGCCTGCCCCGTACGGTGGGTGCAGCGTGGTGTGCACCGCACACGGTGGAGGACAATCATCCGGGGTTGAATCCTGGAAGTGAATCCCTCCCTCAGCCGTATCAGCAGCCCTTTCGGAAGCTATCCCATCATCCAACGGAATCATGCGGCCCGCCTTTCGCGACGCCATGGGCGGCGGCGTCCTTGGCGGCACCTGCCTGATGGTCATCGTGATGGTGCTCTCCGTGGCACCTGGAGGGGAGGCGTTCCTGCACCCGGCTGCTGTGCAGCGGCACGGTGCCGCTGCCTCTGGGAAAATGCTACAGCAGCGTCCGGCGGTCAAGACGAGGTATTATACGCAAGACGGAGACAGACATGGATGAGATGAACGAGTGTCGCAGCAACCCCACATGTACCACCTCGCTCTCGAGCGCGTTGGGTCGGGTTGCACCGAATGGATTCGGTGCCCTGTAAGGGTCTTGTAGAACGGCAGCAGTAGCGATGGATCCAGAAGCAGTTGCAGCAGTCGTTTGGAAGGTGTGTCGTCCTGGTCGAGCCGAAAATGATGGAACGCAGATGTTGGATCTGAAACCTCTTGTTGCCTTTCGGTCCCCCCCCCATACACCCACCTGTTTGCCTGATTGTACCCACGTTGTATACAAGCATTTGGTCTACAAGTGTCCGGCGTAGGGAGGTGACGCGAAGCCTCTAGCTAGGTGTCCCGCCCCCCCGGCGCGAGAACGACGGCTATTGTAATGCTGAAAGTTCTGAGCGTGCTTGCGTTTTTCTTTTTGCTCACAGCAGCAGTGTCTTTTTACGCACGTCAAAGCTAGGCACGTGTCTTCTTCTCTGCCCTTTTGAAACGCTTACAAGTACAACCATGCCACTTTGACAAAGTCATCTGCCCTGGCCCGCCTCCGCCCGCGTATGACTCCTCCTTTCCTCCGTACTTTCAGCCCTCAGCCCGCGCTTCCAGTTCCCGATGTATTCTTTGACATAAGCACACGATTTTTCTCGAGTATACGTGTTCCCCTTTTCATTGCTGTAGATGTGTTATGTTTAAGGTGCTCGGCCTAGTCCTTCACGCACCAGAGTGTTGAGGCGGTGTTGGTCGTCAAACTAACCCCTCGTCGCCCCCTCCTTTTCGTGCCTGCTGTACACTTAATTTGTCCCTTCGTTTCCCTTTGCGTGCGTGTGTGCTGCCACATCATGCCTATCTTTTTTTTTTTGGTACCGCGAGGGGGATCGGGAGCATGACGGCGGGAGTTGAGGAGGGGATGCTCGATGTAGCGTCCCGGGATGAAAACTCCTCTGTCACGCGGTCGACGCCAGGACCGCTGCTTCGCGTTCGTTCGTTATTCGGGTGAGGAGGACCGCGATTCGCGTTAAGTCAGGCTTGTTATTGTTGTTGCTGCTACATGTATGGAGGCGGACAGCTTGCTGCCACAAGCGCAGGGAACGATTGGCCATACCTGGAGCTTGATTATGGGGACCATGGGTGGCAAATCGCGGTTGTGTTCGAACAGCCGTTACTAGTCTCGAACAGAGTGGAAATTGTTGGGGTAGAGTAGAGGAGGGAAGAGAGAGCGGGGATTCCTGTGGTGGGGGCTCCGGCGGCCCTACCATTCACATATCCACGGAACCCCCAGGATTCCCGCGGATCAGCGCAATCGAGTGCCGAGTCCCCCAAACTTGTTTTTTGCTGGTTTGTGGTGGCGCAAGTACGTTGTTCACCGGTGTCACCGTGGCCAGACCAATAGTACGGCATATTTTTGCCGTCGCTATTGCATGTAGAGGTTTCGAACGACGAAAGGGCGGCTCATTAACCCTGGGTTACCGTCTGACACAATATAACACACCTCCTTAAACCATTTTTTAGAGCTCGATTTCTCAACAGGAGGGAGCGTTACAGCGCCGAAAACGGCAGCGTTGGAACCGTCTCATTGAGAGCTTTTCGAAAATGTATCGTTTCGTTTATGCATCCTCTTCGTCGAGTAATCGAGCTTTGAAAATCGGTCCAGGGCGTGTGTTGTCTTGTGTCATATACGGCAAGATAGAGGCACACACATGTTGACGTTAACATCCTTCTCTCCGAGCGCTGTAGAATACGTAGATCTAACCTAGCGGGGTAAATCCAAGCGGTCCTTTGAGTTGGTTCCTGGGGGGAAATGCCCAGTTGCTTCTGGGGTTGCAATCGTTGCCGTTCTCCTTGGTTGCGGCTTAGGCTGTTGCCTCCGCTGTAGTTGGTCGTCGTCGGTCACGAGGGCCGTCGAGAGGTTGTTGGTGATGAATAGTTGTGACGATCGCAGGAATGAGAAACGGTACTTCTACATCGTACCGATGCTGTCGCTCTCGCTTCCTCCACTTGCGGTGCTCAACGAACGTCGACTCGCCGGTCGTTGTTTTTTTTTTTTTGTCTCTTCCCCCTACCCTCACGATCGACTTTTGCTGCTGCTGCGGCGGCGGCAAAATTCGGCTCTTTTTGCTGCCGGTGGGTGTGTGTGTGTGTGTGTGGGTGGGTGGCTACTCCGCAGGCGCAAGGCGGCGACGGCGGCTGCGGTGTCGGCTCTTGTCAGCGCGGGGGCGCCGGGATCTGCGGAGGCTTTGTTTGGGAGGGGGGGCAGGTCTGCGCCGGAGATGCCCTCCGTTCCGGCCCTCGAGCAGCAGCTGGAGACCGCCGTCGGAGAGGTGGTGGAGGGCGTAGGAGAGATTGCGTCGGTGCGTGTTGTTGTTGCTGTCGTTGCCGTTGCGATTAGTGTTGTTGCTGTTGCCGTTGCGATTACCGTATATGACATAAGATAACACACCCCCTGGACCAATTTTCAAAGCTCGATTACACCACGACGAAGAGGGTGAATAAACGAAACGATACATTTTTGGAAAGCTCTCGACAAAACGGTTTCAACGCCGCCGTTTTCGGCGCCGTGACTCTCTCTGTTGTTGAGAAATCGGGGTTTGAAAAATCGGTCAAGGGGGTGTGTTATCTTGTGTCATATTCGGTATTGTTGTTGGCTGTTGCTGTTGTTAAGATGACGTCGTTGTTACTGCTGTTGTTGACGTTGTCGTTGTTGTTGTTGTTGCTGTTCTGTTGCTGCCTCTGCTGTTGTTGACGTTATCGTTGGTGTTGTTGAACTTGTCATTGTTGTTAGTGATGATATGGTCCTGTATCTCTTTGTTACTATAATAGTGATGATGCCCTTCTTCATCGGTGGTAAATCGCGGTTTTGTTCGAATAGTCATTATTAGTCTCGAACAGAGTGAAAATTGTTGGGGTAGAGTAGAGGAGGGAAGAGAGAGGGGGGATTCCTGTGGTGGGGGCTCCGGCGGGCCTACCATTCACATGTGCACGTAACCCATTCACATATGCACGGAACCCCCAGGATTCCCGCGGATCAGCGCAATCGAGTGCCAAGTACCCCAAACTTGTTTTGTGCTGGTTTGTGGTGGCGCAAGTACGTTGTTCGCCGGTGTCACTCAACTGCTATCCATCGCCTCCCCCTACCTCACTCGAACACAAGCCCCATGGCGCAAGTACGTTGTTCGCCGGTGTCACTACACTGCTATCCATCGCCCGCCCCTACCTCACTCGAACACAACCCCCAATGATATCGTTATATCCATCCCGCCGGCTTCCTCGCTTTTCTGGACGCTGCGGCCTCGCCCCTCCCACTTCCTTCTGTAATATGGCGCAACGCCCCCCTCCCTATCTCATAATATGGCGTAATCTCCCCCCCCCCCCCCC